TGTAATTTGGCACTCTAATATTTATCCCTGATGAAGACTAGCTCAAAACGGTTACAGTGTAAATTTTTCAGTCCCTGTCATCAGGGTGGTAACATCTCATCCTTGTTCCCCCTCCAGCCTCAGGAGGTACACTCATCCTCTGTATCCCATCCTGAGATGTCTCCTCTCACTCTGCAGGTTGGCCATGGGCACTAATGGGCTGCAGGCTGGTCCTGGAAACCTGCTACCCCGACCTTTCTACTTCCTGTCTGCATAAGTTCCAACTTTCCTCCAAAGCCCATTTCAAGATCTACCAGTCCAGGAGAAGGTCTCCCATCCTCTCAGATGATTGCCCCTCCTCTGTGGCTCTCATTCCCTTCAGCAATCTTGGTCTGTCCCGGGAGCTACCTTGACCACCATCTGTTCTGTCTCCTCAACCTTAGCCATCTGTTCTTTGATGTCTCACACTTGCCTTTTCCCCAGAGCCCTTCCCAGCACCTCAGTAATATTTGCTGAAAAGCATCACACTTAGAAAGTTGGGTAAACATTTCCTGCTCTCAGGTTTGCTCCATTCATTTTATTTTCACCAATCAGTGTTGTCAGAACAGAGGCATTTACTAGAGATGCAATGAAGCAAATTCAGAGGAAAACTGAAGTGAGGAGTTTCAAATGCAAAATGTTACTCAGCAGACAGGAAATGACTGATAAGAGCCTCAGGGTCAGGTAAACTTTCTACAGAATGTTAACCAAACAATTTTGTGTGTTGTGGATGCTTGCCCAAGTCATCCATTTTCACCATGTTTTTGAGATGTGTCTTAGAATGTGCTGGTATTTATGTACTTGGATCTGCTGTTTCACCAGCAAGCTGTTCAAATGGGGATGTTCATGTCTTTACATAGACATCCATGTGTTTTAAAACTGCCAATATTCAGGAAGAAATGTCTGACCAGCACACATAGAACAGTGGTTTTAATGATTTTAATTGCCTAGCAATTTGAAAAATTGTTTCCCCTTATGTTTATAGGGATAAAATTAAAGAATCAGACATTAAGTTATATACATGCATGATCACAAGTGAATAAAGAAAAAAGATAATATAGGGTAAAAACTCTATTAACTATGTAAATGCTTTCTTGTGAGTACAAGAAATGGTGAGAAGGATGTTACTGGGAATGATAAAGTTGGGGGAACCCACTGGACTGAGCAAAAGTATCTAAAGCAATCCTTGGGAGGAAATGAGTTGCTTTCTATTTTCATATGATGGGGGCCATCACTAGCCCACAGGGTGCTTTTGTATGAGTCAGGAAGAAACACTCCTCTCTGAGCTGGGATGCGGGCCTTCCCAGGGAGCTTGACCAGTGATGTTCTGGGTGGTCCTCTGACACAGGGCATAGCCTGCACATCCAGGTGCATGCATTCCCGGTAAACAATTCTTTGGAAAATAGACATGGTTTTAAAGAGCACAGCGGACTGAAAAGTGACCCTGCTAGTACACAATAGAGTGAGAGAGTAACTCCAGAATTGTTGGTTTAACCTAATCCTGACCAAGGACATTTGTTGATGGCTTTGTCTATGAAATGCAGGGCTCTGCCACAATATTGATAGATGACAAGTATCTCGCTTAAGTATATAACCTAGTATAAAACTAGTAATTGGTAATTGACAGATATTATGGGATTAATTTATCAGGGAAGTGGGAGGCCCCACTAACAAAAGAAGTGGGAGGCCTCCACTAACAAAACAAACTACCCCAATGCAGTCAGCGCTGCCCTTTAGGTGCCATGGGTAGAGAAGATCATTATTTCCATTCTTCCACTGAGAAACAAAACATACAGCAATATAATCTAGGGACCCAACAATGGGCTCTCTTGCAGGTGGAGTTTTGAAGTGAAATTGCTTGTAACATGGCATCCCAAATTACCATGTTTCTTGCATGAAGACTCTGGAGAAGGAAATGGCAACCCACTCCAGTACTCTTGCTTGGGAAAGCCCACGGATGAAGGAGCGTGGTGGGCTACAGTCCATGGGGTCGCAAAGAGTTGGACATGATTGAGTGACTTCACTTTCACTTTGCATGAAGAAGAGATACCCACCCTGGGACTGCAGCAAGTGGGGATGCACGGGAGAGGCAGAATTCGGAGGTGCGGCTGGTTTCCTCCTCGTCCTCCCCTCAGACAGTCCACGTCTACCTGCCCTGCTTGGCTGGCCTATCACAGGGAAGACACAGGCCACTGAATGGGGGAGAGCCCATCTTGGACTCTGTCATTGCGGTCACTAGGGAGAGAGGCATTTCCTGGCCTCGAGGTCTTCTACTGGAGGGCTCTTGCCCTCCAACAGTGAGCTCTTCAGTCTCAGCCCCTCCTGGACTTCCATCATGAGCCCTTCATCTTTCTCAAGTCCTTCATCCTGATCAAGCAAAGAGCCTCTTTCAAGTCTAGCTCTCCTCCAGCCACTGCTTTGGCTCTCCCTTCCCATTTTCCACTAAGCCTCACTCCTGCCCTCATCGTTGCACTGAATCCATGTCACTAAGACCTCCAGGACCTTCTTACTGCTGGTAATTAGAGAACCTGTCAGCTTTCATCTGAATTTCCCATACTTGATGTTGTTGACCCCAGCCTCCTCCGTGACGAACCATCTTCCCTTGGCTTCCATGACCCAAATTCTCCTGTCACACCTGCTCTTTCTTTGGCTGGTCCTTCTTCATTTCCCTCTTGTTCTCCTTTTTCTTTCCCCGCCCCAGCTCAAAGGATGTGACCCTGGGTGTTCAGCACTCAAGCCACTTCCCTTCTCTCTCTCCACCCTCTCCCTGGCTCTGCATCCATTCACATTGGTCTCAGCCGTCATGATGTTGACGCTTGTCTTTGCCTCCTGCCCAGAACTCTCACTAGAGAAAAACTGCCTCCGGACAGGTCTTGTGATGTCAGGGGGAATCAGGGCACACCTTCCACTCTCAGGTCCTGTAGGTGCACACCCTGCACGTATATGACTCTGAGAGTGAGCATTCCTGAATGTTTGTGCCCTAGACACTCCGTGGTACTTACACTCAGTTCTGTAAGTTAAAAAGCTAAGTCCTCCTCTTCCCTCCCAAAGCTCGGCTTGCACCCTTATCCAGCTGAATGATGTCATAGCTGGCTCAGACCAAAACCTGGAGGTCCTTCCTGACAACCCGCTCTCTCAACCAGCCAACTGCCAAGTCCAGTCATTCTGTTTCTTCAACATCTCCTAAATCCAGCCTCTTGCTTCCTCCTACCACTGCCTCCGGTCAGGCGGCCACCATGTCTACACTGCAGCTAGCGTGACTTTTCTGAAACACAATGTGACCACAACTATGCATAAAACACTTGGAAGTGATTCTCCATTGTCCCCAGAGTGGGCTCCATGACCAGCACCCCCTCCACCCCTTCCCTCCACTCCTCGCACTGTCCTCCACCAAACCTTGCTCCTCAAGTCCCCTGAAGAAGCCACAGGCCACCCCCAGGTTCTTGCTCAAGATTCCTTCCCACAGAAGAGCCTCCTTCCACAGTTCCGCTCTGATCATAGCCTCAATGCCACTTCTAGAAGCCAGTTTTGATCCAAGGCGGGTGAAATACCCTTCCTGGGTGTATCCCCTCCCCCGCCCCCAACCTCTCACATCCATTTCAGAGCCATCACACTGGTGTTTGGGGCCTTGACTGTTGGTTCCTGCTTCTCAAGGGACAGGGCACAGCATTATTGGTGAACTGCAAACTCAGTGCTCATCTCACAGGAAGTGTTTGACAAGTATCTATATTTTTTTAATATTAGCAGCTTATTAGGAACTCTCTTTCTCACTTATACTAGTAACAAGACACTGGTATCAGTATTTTAATCTAGACTTGGTTAATCTGTATAATTACAAGAAAATAGACATTAAATTCTTAATAAAAAAGGACTATATAGAAACTCTTATGTTTTGGAATATATAGAAACTTTTAGGTTTCTCTATTATTCAACAAGTATCTACTGAATGCATGAAGGATTTGAGGAATCCCAGTGTGGACTTCAAGTCTGAAAGTCCTGAATTAAGCCCCAGATCTGCCCCTTCCCAGCTGTGTGTCCTAGGGAAAGTTAATAGCCTCCCCCTGAGTCTTAGTTTCTGCTCTATACAATAGAGATAATAGTGCTTCCCCTTCTTGTGAATGGATCTGTGCTTCTATGTATGCATGTGTGGTAAGCCACTTCAGTCGTGTCTGACTCTTTGTGACCCTATGGACGATAGCCCGCCAGGTTCCTCTGTCCATGGGATTCTCCAGGCAAGAATAATGAGTGGGTTGCCATGCCCTCCTCCAGGTTATCTTCCCAACCCAGGGAATGAACCCATGTCTCTTATATCTCCTGTCCTGGCAGGTGGGTTCTTTACCACTAGTTCCACCTGGGAAGCCGCTGTGCTTCTATAACCATCTATAATTAATACAATGCTTTACTCTTCTCTTTCAAATCATGCACTGAACTCCAGGAAGTCAGAATTAAGTCCTATTCTAACTGGCATCCCCGGTGCCCAGCCCAGGGATGGATTCCTAGGTGGGAGCACGGTAGATGAAATTTGATGAAAGAATGTTTGAGGGAAGGTAGCCAAGATGAAGACGGAAGAAGGAGGAGGTCACTCAAGGTACATGAAGAGGGAGAAAAGAGAAAGCAAGAAACAGTGGAGACACTTCGAGTCTGCTTATGTTACAGAAGGCCCATCTGCTTTCGAAGGACTGGGCTGAGGACGCTCTGTCCCTGGAGATAACCTGCCCAGATCATTCTTGCCTCTGCAACAGTAGGAAGGCATGCGGCCCACGTGATTGGCCCAGCTCCCTTGCTGGAAACAGCTGTGCAGACGGCAGCCTTGGGGAGCTCAGGGAGATTTCACAACCTCCGCGGCTGCCCTTCAGAGGAGTATCATATGTTGTTTATGTACATCTCCATCTACATGTGTGTTTCCTGGGTCTCTCCTGATTGCAGTGAGGCTCAGTCTTGCAAAACAAATTCAGAGTGTGCCTCATATTTTGTTTTTGCAGATAGCGATGGAGCGATGGAATGTACCAGCCTCCCCATGCCAGATCGGAGAGAAACTGAGGAGCTGAAAACAAAGACAATATCCAACCCCAGTGGCTCCTCCCAGAGCATGTGCAGGGATTGGGACATTAAAGCTGGGGTTAAAATGCCTGGGGAGGGTTAAGACAGGTTGATATTTTAATTCCATCTGGGAAAGACCCAGGAGTCAGAGTTATATTTTCTCTTTTCCTTTCTCTTTACCCAAGCAGTAACAATATTGGAGCAGGAAGAATCTATGCTTATTGTCTGGTGATTGTAATCATCCATTTTCCTTATGCCTATGAAACACAGGATAGAGTTTTTGAAGGGATGTTGAGAGTTGCCTTCAAATTGTTCCATGAGGGAAACAGAAGATGCTGCCCAGGACAAGAAATAGAGAATTGGATCAAATCACTGATTGTCAACACTAGTTGCTTCTTAAAATGACCTGGGGAACTTTTAAAACTCCTGTATCTAGACTTCATCCCAGAAAAATTAAATAGAACCTGGCACCAGGGCCTTAAAACTCCCCAGATGATTACAACATGCAACCAGATTGAAAATCACTGGATTCCGTGAACTCTGATCTCTAAAACTCCCTCACATTTCTGTGTTTGAAACTAGCAATCTAGGAACAAAACCATCTGCAGCTGGCAAGATTTTTCTGCAACTGGTTAGTATTTAATTTAATATTTAGACTTCTGCTAGAGCAGTTATTCCCCAATTAGGTTAATAGGTGTTCTGCAGAGAAACATAGAAAGTAGTCACTGGTGGTCAAATAAACACAGAGGTGCTGACTTCAAGTCCCCAGCAGTCAGGGTTAGAGGGATCTTGATGGACATCTAATTCCATTTATCTCATTGGTTCCAAAGTGTGGTCCCCAGATCAGTAGCATCAGTATCACCTGGAAGTTTGTTAGAAATGCTAGTTCCCAGGCCCCTTCCCAGACCCGCTGAGTCAGAAACTCTGACAGTGGGATCCGGCAGCCTGTGTTTTAACAAAACTTCTAGGTGATTCTGTGCTCAAGTTTGAGAACTAGTGATCTGCTGCAGGAACTGTTTACTATGTCCTGGCCCAGTGGTTTGACTGGTTTTACCCCTGTTTGGTAACATGGAGCAACCCCAGTGATGCCTGTGGAAGCCCATTTGTTGTTGAAACTCGTCTTTCAGTTTTTTAAGATGAAATACGTGTTAATGTAACTTCTACCTGTGGCTTAACTTCATGTCTTCTCTGAAGTCATATTCTGTACTTTAGAGACTTTAATGTTCCAGGGCTTCTGGTTTGATATAACATATAGCTGATAACCGGAGAAGGCAATGGCAGCCCACTCCAGTACTCTTGCCTGGAAAATCCCATGGACGGAGGAGCCTGGTGGGCTGCAGTCCATGGGGTCTCACAGAGTCAGACACGACTGAAGCGACTTAGCAGCAGCAGCATGATTGATAACTCCTGAGGGCACTTCTCCAAAACTTACATAAAATACCCAGGAAGATACAGAAAAGGTACCAACTCACAACACCACCAAAAACTAAAAGTGACAGAGTAGAAGTAATAGAAAATTTCTGTGAAAATTTACATCCTCTTGGACTAGACAAGATTGTTCTAATTTTGACATCAAAGGCAGAAATTAGAAACATTCATAGATTTAACTATAAATGTTAAAATTACCTATAAAATTATAGGTAATGTCACACACACACACAAAACTAGACTTTAAGTTTCATGAAGTAAGCATCATATACTTAATGTATACCACTGGATCTTCAAAACATTTGACTAATAAATGAACGAGTATGAGTTAAGCAAATGACCATATAAAAATCAAAGCTAAAATATCCAATAGAAAAATAGGATAGAGGAATATATAGGCAATAGACAAAAGGGAAAATAGATATTTGAAAGATGTTTCACTTCAATAACAGAAAATGCAAATTAAATTAGCACCTGTCAAATAGGTAAGATTAATAATGTTAATGGGAGATGGGATTTTCAAAGATGCAGGCTCTAGTGTTTCAGTGTTTCAGGCAATAATGAATAATGAGCCCAACCTGGCAATTTATGTCAAAACTTTAAAATTTTGCATGCTGTTTGATTGATTGATGAGACAACTGCATGCTTAGTCCTAAGGAAACATTCATGAATGTGCACAATAATCTGGCAACAAGTATACTGGTTACAGATAGCTTCATTTGTAAAAATAAACACTCTAAAAAGAAGGCAGGCTGAAATATAATGTCACAGTTTGCATTTAAAATCACATCATACAATGATATGAAGTGGCATGAAAAGATTATTCCTTGAATACAAGTAAGTGATTAAAAATATTAATGAAAGTGAAAGTGTTAGTTGCACAATTGTGTCCAACTCTTTACTACCTGACCCCATGGACTGTAGCCTGACAGGCTCCTCTGTCCATGGAATTCTCCAGGCAAGAATACTGGAGTGGAGATGCCTTCTCCAGGGCATCTTCCTGGAGGGATAAAACCTGGGTCTTCCACTGCAGGCAGATTCTTTACCATCTGAGCTACCAGGGAGGCCCAGAGAGAAAATGTTAATAGTTTATAAGAAGAATGCTTAGCATGCTGACCAAGTTAAAAAGCTTTCAGCTCCCTTTAAGTCTGCTGCCTCAGACTGAACATTCCCAATTCCTTCTGCCATTTGTCCTTGAATGGTGAGAAAATTTTCTGAAGTCAGAGAGGTTCCCATATAGGAAGCCTTGGGGACTATCCTGGCAAATGGTCATGGGACACAGGTTCTAATTTCCAGACTTTCCTGCTACGTCTCTGTGAATATTCTCTACTTTGGCAAAACCCCCTTTAAAGCCTGGATCTGGACAGCAACCTTTTGTGTTTACAGGGGTACCATGGGGACAATGAATAATCTTACCAAGGTAACAGTTCAGTAGGTAGAGATGATGGGAAAGATATCCCAGGCAGAGAAATTAAGACTGTACAAAGGCACAGAGACAGAGACGATTCTGGCATGTTCAGGGAATGGTGAGCAATTCTAGGTGGCTGGAGCCTCTGTGGAGTGATACTGGAGCCAAGGGGAAAAAGTAGTTCAAATGACAAGGAAAGCCTTTCTAAATCAAGCTAAGGATTTGGGGCTTCTTCCTAGCCTTTGAAAGACTGAAGCTTTGGGATGGCATGCTGAGATCCATGTTTTTGAAAGAGCAAAGCGGTGGCTATACACTGGAAGCCAGGGGATGGTTTAAGCAGAGGATACCATATGGTTGGGGCTTCCCAGGTGGTGCTAGTGGTAAAGAACCTACCTGCCAATGCATGAGATGTAAGAGAAACAGGTCCGATCCCTGAGTTGGGAAAGTGCCCTGGAGGAGGGCATGGCAACCCACTCCAGTATTCTTGCCTGCAGAATCCCATGGACAGAGGAGCCTGGGGGGCTACAGTCCACAGAGTTGCAAAGAGTTTGACACGACTGAAGCAACTTGACATGCAAGCACCATATGCTTAGTGAACTTATTAAATTTTAGGATCCGATGTGTTGCTGGTTTGCTACTTAAGTGGCTTCTTTGGTACTTCCCCTTTTATGTTGGCTCAGGCTCTCTTGGTGGGCTCCAAAACACAACAGGACTGTGGGCCCATCCCAGGCAGAAAGAGGAAGATGGGTGGTGGCAGTCAGAAAGCATTCATGTCTCCTGCTGTCATCCCATTCATGTTTTCCCTGACCCAGGGCTTGGACAGCTCCCAGGAGGTGGGCACCAATCCCAGGGAAGGATGTGACTCTGGGCTCAGGCCTCTCCCAGCCCTCTGCTCTGTGGTGGGGGCTGGAGGCACTCTGCTTTTGCAGCAGCCTCCGAGGCTCTCCTGGTGAGCCCATGTCTGCCTCTGTAAAGCTGGGGTGGGTTCACTGGGGAAGGATGGAGCAGTCAGGAACTGAGAAGGAAGAAGTGCCAGGTTTCTGTGAGATCAACATGTGTTTGAAACAATTCAGAATGTAACTGAGAATGTAATTAGGTGATGTTTGTTTTTGTTTTTGTTTTAAAGGAAAAACTCAGAACCTGTGACTCTTGTTCATGAGCACATGCCTGGATGTAGTCATTTTGAGTTTATGGAAAATGTGGTCAGCCCCATAAATCACTGCAGAGGAATTCTTACAGAGTCATCCACCGTGCAAAGAAGGCAGGTCTGTAGTGAGTCTGTCGAAGTTATGAAAACAGAACCGAATAAGCACATAATAATAAGCTATAGTCTTCTCTTCTCCTAGAATTCTTTCCTGAGTTGCCATAAAGTGGCTTTGAATTTCCCTTCCTACATAATCTATGGTCTTTCTTGTATATCTCCATGTGTACAGCTAGATGTCTGTGGCCATCACCATGATTACAAAGACATGGTTCTCTCCATCTCTCTCTCATGTGTCTTAAACATTTTAGCAGGATTCCTGTAAAGAAAGTCCATTTCAAAGTAGGCTGGACAATTGTACTTTGCAACACCTCTGAGAACATGGTCACAATTGTATCCTAATTTTCTGACCTCCCGTCCTTCCCATCTATTATTTTGTGTGCCTGGAGAATGAAATTTCAGGGTGAGATTGTATTTCTCAAAAGCACACAGAATGTCTTCAATTGTGAAACACAAACTTTCATTCAGAATTTGTAAATAAGAGATTCAATCTAGGTGTGATTCATTAGAAGGAATTCCATCCATTTTCATCTCATTTTTGTTAGACTTATCCAATCAACCATTTGCCCTCAAACAGTTTTAGTTCTTATATCTTATTTATCATAATATTTCTCTTATCCTTCCTCTTTGCTACACTCGATTCTCTGGTTGACCCAGTTTATAAGTCTGTTTCTGGCAAACTGGTCAGTGAAGAATGGAATGTTAACAAATTTGAGTGGAGATGTTTTTCAAGTGCTCTGAAAAAAAAAAAACGGGGTTGATCATGGACAAGCATGTTCTATCACAAAAATAGTACTGCTGAGTCTGAGGAGTTTACCTATCCTATTGCTTTTTTCTTAATCCGTCAGATGCGTCTCATGCAGGCTAAAAAGTTCCTTAATTTTCCACAGAAACCGTATGTATAACTTATAAGGCCAGATAACACGCTGAGTACAAAGCTGATGGCCAAGGCTCATTTCTGTTAGCTGTTTGTACTTTAAAATCTGCTCTAGCAATGTGTTCTTGTTGACTTCCAGACAAAAAACAAATTCTAGAGATCAAGAAGGTCAAGTTGGCCCAGGATTTATATGCCCTGGGTGTTTTTTTTTTACATCATACTTGCCTGCTGTCCCTGCCGAAATGTGGAGCAGGAACAGCTAGCTGGCAGCAGTCTGCTCAGGCTGTGAAACTTTAGACCAAATCCTCTCAACCACAAGCCACCTGTTGTCACCAGGTGCAAAGGGAGGGTGACCCGCCTAACTGACCCTGCTCTCAAGTTCTATTAGTTGTGCCGTGTTGCAGAGTGGGCAGGGTAAAGATGCAGGTACATCTGACATAATCAACAGTCATACAGTCTGAATTTCTGCATCAACCTTTCACAGACAGAAAAGCACAAGGTAACTAATCATAACAATGTTTGACTGAGCATTACTATTTAATGTGTTCAAACGTTAAGCCAAATGCTTTACAAACATTACTGGCTCCAGCCAGCCACCCTGCAGTAATTATTATCAACCACTTTACAACATGAAGAATGGCATTCAGAGAGGTCACGTGACTTGCTTAGAGTTTTTCCAGGCAGGAAGGAAGCAAAATTCAGACCCAACTCCACCTGATTCAAAAGAAGCCCCAAATTAGACACCTTGATTTTGCTTTTGGGTTAGTGTGTCTGATTCCCAGAGCAGCGTATGAAAGATGCAGGTTGTGGGTGGTTGAGGGAGGATTTGGTCCCAGGCTTTGCTTTGTAGATTTTATAAAAGAGAGATTAGCTCTTCCCAGAAGAGCTAGCAATGGCATGATTACGGCAGAACTGAGGTTGTTTCCAGCGTTGTTATTATTCAGCTTGTCCTGTCCTCTGTTTCCTCATTTACAAAATGAGGACTAAGGCCTCCGTGGCCTCCTCCCTGTCTATCTCCTTCCAGTTAGAGACATTCTGAGCTTGGCCCTGACAGTTTCGGGGCAAATCCTCATTGTGGAAGACCCTCCTGTGATCCTGGATCAGACAAACCCAGCACCTGCTGGACGATGGGGGAGTTTTCCTATGGTCCCTATTCCCTGGCTCCACCTTATGGCCCTGGCATCCTGCTTGTGACCACTGGCCAGTGTGGCCGAGAAGCAGCAGCCCTCTCTCTGGAAGCTGCCTGAGCATCCCTGCTTTATTAACTCACCGTACCTGGAAACCCAGCAGCTCAAGTCCTAGAAAGCTAATCTAACCTGTTTCGGTCAAAATCCTTTTCAGAAAAGCAAGTCAAAACTCAAGGTCTTGTAGAACCCAAATTTTGAAAACTAGTATCTGATTTGTCACAACATAATATGATATCTGGATTCATATAACTGGAGTTATTCCAGCTCAACAGTCAGAGGGAGAGAGAGAAAAAGAATGCATGTATGCGACATTGTTAACGAATCCTACCGTGTCTCCTGGTTGCGGACGCATCACAGACACGCGATCGTAGCCTTTCCTTAGTAGGACCCACAAGGCATCAAGTTTTCCCTGAAATGAAACAAATGCACCAAGATTACATCTGAAACCAGACAGAAGGCCAGCACAGACATGAACTTTCCACGCTTCTTCAGTCATATGAACCACACTTCACCAGCGATGCAGTTGTCATAGGACGTGACTCTCTAGTTCAAAATGTGGGTTTCAGCAATGGAGGAGAAGAGATGCATCCCAGAGAACCGTGATGCTCATGCAAGAGACACCTGCGGCTAAAGCGCAGCCTCAGGTGTGCAGACACAGAGGAGTCATCCAGCCAGTTGCCCTCATTGCATTTCTGGGCATCTCCTCATCCTGCAGGTCAAGCTTTTCAACTTGCACTAAAGTTTTTTCTTGCCACTTAGTGTCCCGAGTTTACAAATGAAACAATGAGGACAAATTTAGGAAAATGACTGAATAGAAGTGTGGGTGGGGCTAGATCAATGAAAGGGTCCTGGGGGGCAGATCCATGGCTGTCCCCATAAGAGGCTTCAGAATCCTGGGCTTGAGGGACAAATGACCAAGGATCACGGATCACCACAAATCACAGCCCCCTTTGGAGTTGTAGGTGATTGGCTGAATCTGAGAAGATTGAATCTGTGAGGGCTAAAGTTTTCATAGTACATGACAAAGGAAGTCTGATGATCTAGTTCCTTAGACATGCTGAGTGGAGCTGGCTTCTGCCACTGCAAACACTAAAAACACAGGGAAAAAAAGACATTTATTTAGCTTTGCTCTCATTATTAATCCTGGCTGGTGACTCCAACAGGCAGAAGTCACCTTTATTTTGTCTGATTTCCCTTCACCACCAGGAAATCTGCTCACCTCCACCTCCAAACATGACATTTAGCCTCTGGAACTGGTGACTACGTTCCCTTTCATGGCAAAAAAAAGGACTTTGCAGATTTGATTACTGTTGAGTCCTGTTCTAAAGCCACAGGTGCGAGCCCTGTACCAAGGCCACAGAAGCGGAGCCCAGAACCAGGTCAACAAGCTAACTGAGCCCCTTGGTAACTGTTGCCAAAAGCCCCCGATCATCACTAACAGGCCTCCAAATTAGAAAAGATGCCCACTCTAGTAAACACTCTATCGCGCCCCAACCAATCACCTAACACCAACCTTCCAGCAGGAATTTTCTTTGTCTGGAGGCTGTAAAAATCGGCAATTAACCCACAAAAACTGTCAACTCTTCTTGGTCTGTCAGGTCAGCCCACTGTGTTTGCAATGCCTCCTTGATCTCTGCTGTTTGTTCTTAATAAACTCACTCCCTTCTGAAGTGCTGTGTGTCTGGAAATTCTTCTTCAAACTGCGCTCGAATTGCCCCAACAATTACGTTAAGGATCTTAGACTGGGGACATGATCCTGGATCATCTGGATGGACCCAAGCTAACCACATGGATTTGTTTATTATTTATGTATTTCACAGAGGTCCTTAACAGAGGGAGGCAGGAGGATCCGAGTCAGAGAAAGAGATGGAGAAACAGAAGCAGAGTCAGAGTGATCCCATGTGAGAAGGACTGAACCCATGGTAGCTGGCTTTGGGGAGGAAAGGGGGCCACAAGCCAATGAGCGGGCAGCTTCTGGAGTCTGGAAAAGATGAGGAGATGGATTCTCTCCTAGAGCCTCCAGAAGGAGTGCAGCCCTGGCCTTGCTGTCATCTTAGTCCAATGAGACCCATTTTGGGCTTCTGACCCTTAGAACTCTAAGACAATAAATTTGTGCAGTCTTAAGACACTCAGTTGGAGGTAATTTGTTAGCGCAACAGTAGGAAACGAATGCAGCCCTTATCACTCCCTGACAAAGGCTCTGTTTATTTGCTTGGTATTTGTCTCTGTCATCTGGAATGCCAGCTCCATGAAAGCCGAGGTGCTGCTGCTTTTTTTTAACTGCTGTATACCCAGCCCTTAGCACAGCTTCTGGTCCTCAGTAAATACGTGTTAGATGAATGAATGCATCCAGTGCTGCTATGTGCTGGGCTAGGTGCTTTTCTGTGTGTCTGCTCATTTCATTCTCCCAGCAGTCCCAAAGAGTTATGGGGAAGGAATCAGAGAGGTCAACTAACTTGGCCAGAGGCACACAACTTGTAAACTGGAAAGGTGTGACTGGATGCCCCCACCATGTCTTTCTAATTCTAAATATTAAAAAAAAAAATTTTAATGGCATTTATTAATTTTTAAATTGAAGTATAGTTGATTTACAATGTTATGCTAATTTCTACTATAGAGCAATGTGATTCAGTTATATACATATCTACACTCTTGTGGCTCAGCTGGTAAAGAATCCACCTGCAATGCAGGAGACCTCAGTTCAACCCCTGGGTTGTGAAGGTCCCCCGGAGAAGGGAAAGGCTACCCACTCCATTATTCTGGCCTGGAGAATTCCATGGACCATTCCATGTGGTCGCAGAGTCGGACATAACTGAGCAACTTTCACTTTCACTTCACCTTCTTTTAAAATACTCTTTTCCTAATAAAAATAAATGAAAAAAAATACTCTTTTCCATTATGGTCTATCACAGGATTTTGAATATAGTTCCCTGTGCAAAGCTCATATACTTTCTACTATACCAACTGCAGCTTCTTCCTTGTGCAGATCTGGTCGGAGCACTTTCACTTAGATCCTCTAGAACAGGGTTTCTAAACTGAGGGTTGCAACTCTTCAACCCCTCATGAAATAATTTTGTATATTAGGGTATGAATTAATAGGAAAGAAAATATTTGAGTTAATGGCACATGGTGAGGATAAGTATGATTTGTGAAAAATGTGTATCAGATAAACATGCATGGGTGTGAGTATTAGTGTATGAAGTGAATACACACATGTGCACACATAAGGATTTACTGGGCCAACATGTATTCCTGTTGGGGTCTCATGAGCATGTTTGAAAACACTGATCTGTAAGTGGTCTTTGAAGGATAATGCTGAAAGGCTAAGAGAGTCTAGAAACTTCAAGTTCCTTGCCACAAAGCTTTCATAGTGGCAGCATCGATTTAAGAATGCCACCTTAAAGAGTTGGTGTTCGGAAGTTATTTTCTGGTGGGTTTTATTCAGATATGAAAAATGTGCTCTGAAACCTTTATCAATGGTTGCTTGAGTTCTTGTGGGTTCAACTCTGTCTTGCTAAGCGTAATGTTTCTCATCTCTCTTGGCCAAGTATTTACAAAAGCCTCTAAAAATATTCTGGAATGACTTCAGAATGCTGGGAAGGACTGCTGCTGTGTTCAGCATGGTTTTTTGCATTAAACCGTTTCAATCATTATTTAAATGTTTTCCTTTAAAGTTCTTTGGGATAAGCATTTATATGTCAGGATATAAACAGGTGGACTTCCTAGACGAATGCCTCTTTTCTTTTCCCTTTTTTCGGGGGGGATTCCTGGTAACTGACTTGGTAAATCATCCCCCTCTCAGTATTCTGTGCACTGATCACTCAACTCCTTGACAAATGAGGTGCAATGAGATGGGGCTAAAAGAAAAAGTGGCTCTTGAGGAAATGTTATAATTAACTCAGCAGAAATCCAAAGTTCCAGGCAGGGAAAAAGGGCAAAAACCACCTAGATGTGCAACACCAGGAGAATGGGTCATGTTTCTTTGTGGCAACAGATCATAGAGCGATATTTAAGCACAAAATGACTGGCTTTAGACTATATTTCAGGGCTGCCCCTCACCAGTTCTGCTGTGGCCTTGGACAAACTGTTTCATGTCCCTAAGTCTTACCTTTCTCATCTTTAAAAAGAAGAGAGATAAGAATATTGTCTACTCTATGGATTTCTTAAAAGGCTTACAATTAGATATTGAAGTAAGATGTGTACATGCTAAGTTGCTTCAGTCATGTCTGACTCTTGGTGGACCCATGGACTACAGCCCGCCAGGCTCCTCTGTCCATGGGATGCTCTGGGCAAGAATACTGGAGTGGGTCCCCGAGTCCTCCTCCAGGGGATCTTCCTGACCCAGGGATTGAACCCATGTCTCTTATGTCTCCTGCATTAGCAGGTGGGAAGCCCTTGAAGTAAGATACTTGTCTCACAGAAAGCATTCATTCAATGTTATCAATGTATTAATCCTTAGGTAAAGTCATTAAAATGATAATTTGAAATGCTCTGTAGAAATATGGAAATGAATGTAAGATGACGAGTAAGAATCCAATAATTTGTACTTTACAAGCCTGGAGCACCCGTCCTCCACTCTGTCCTCCAACCCCATTTCCGCCTTTCCCCCTGGCTTCTATGACGGTGTCTGGGAACCCCCAAAACTCCACCACAGCTGCTTCGCTAAGGCTTGGCTAAACCTTGGCTCTGCCTGCTCCTTCTTAACTCTCTCATATCCTTTTCAGCCTCTTCTCCTCTCTGCCTACACTTGATCCAAGGGTGTCCCCTCGGTGTCCCCCCTCTACTAGACTCACCCCCAGGCGGAATGCTCACCCCGCCTACTTTCACCTGGTCTCATGGGTCAAATTTCCACCTGTCTGCCCATGGCTCATATAAGCTTCCAATCCAATTACCAAATCTTAGTTGTAAAGTAAACATATCACAGGTATAAAAAACCCCCAAGCATCACATATCGAATAATTTTTCCCCAACCTGCTCCTCCTTTGACACCCTGCCTTGAGTATGCCGTGGAGCACCACCAACATCCAGACAGGCAATGACCAGACAGGTCATTCTCATCTCCTCTCTCTCTGCCACCCCTTCACGTCCAACTTCGGCCCTGTCTGGTGGATGTTCTGTCTCGTCTCCCCTCTTGCCTCTTCCTGTCCAGCCCTGCCCCACTGTCTCCTCGGCTACTGCCTTGGCCTTGATCATCTGTCACTTATCCTGAGAATAGTTTCCTGATCAGTCTTTTACCTCCAGGCTCCCAGTCCTCTCTACTACTTGATTAATAACAGATTTCGTGGCTACCTGGAATGGATGCTTTGTTGTTAATAAAATAAATCAAGAAACATCTTTATTAGCAGTGTGAATTTAGGCAAGTTACCCCTCTGTGCCTTGATCCTTCCATTTGTAAAACAGAAGGAGTAGTAGCAGTTGGTTGGTAAGAAATGAAGGAGTGAGTGCAAGGAAGGCCCTGGGGACTATGCCTGACTCGTGGTACATGCGTCACTCAGCCCTTCATTCAGGTGAGCTGCTATCATGAGCTGTTCTGGCCAAAGTAAGACCAGCTAGTTCTGATTGGAGCCTCAGTGCTCTGAATTTTGAAAGTTCCACAAATGAATCCAAAGTCCCCATTCTGTGTGGCACAGCAAACAGTTGGGGTAATCTATACATCCTATACCTTGTACTTCTGTCAATACATCAGGTAGCATTTTATGCAAGAGCTGAAGTAAGCTTTAGAATAAGTGTTTTCGGAATCAAGAGGATAAAAAATAACTCTTAAAAGTCAAAGAGAAGTACATAACAAGGTTCCTTTGCTTGATTTTCTGAGAGGAGGCAGAAGTTTTGTCATTTCAAGACAGTAGCTACTGGGCTTATTAATAACATCCCTTTTGGGGCCAGAAGAGCCTCAGGAGAGTCTTCCAAGTCGTCGGTGGGCTTTACTCACAGCCTGGCAGGAGCCTCTGAGTTGACTCCACTATTTCTCTCAGATCTGAGTGTCCTGCATGCATGGCCCTCTCTACAAGGTGTGTTTTAAGACACAGGTCCTCACTCCCCAGAAGGAATGCTTCTGTGAAGCTTAAAGATTCTCCACCATTCTGGAAACCCTCTACCAAAGTGTATTAGCTGACATTTATATATATCTTTCTTTCATATGAAATTGACACACTTTGACTATCACATGAGAAGTGTACCAATTCCAGGTTCCCCAACTCAACCCCAACCTGATAATCAGTATCTTCCAATCCACAAAGGCTGGCAAACCAGGAATTCTCCATCAATGCTCACTTGTTTCTTCCTAAACAAGAAGACCATGCCAGGAGGTTTGTGAGGTCCATTGCTCAACGCATCTTGGTGCATGGACTTTGTGGCTGCCTTTCTTTCCTTTTTTGGGGGTGGGAGGAGGGGTGGGCAGGCAGCAGCTGTATCTTCTCTTCTGGTTTGTCTGCCTCAGCTACTTGGAAGTTAGTCAGAAGCTGGGAATTTTGAGGGTAGTTCAACTTAGAGGGCTGTGAGAGACTAATACTAATTTTTTATACCTTAAAATATATGGTAAATATTGTGACTCATGCATCTCCTTAAATGAAACAAATGAATGCATAAGTTTGAAACTTCCCCTACACATACCCACACAACACTCACATATGGTCATTTTTTTTTCTCTCTTCTTTCGGTCTTTGTTTAAAACATGTTTGGAACCATTCTAAAGTGTAGCCGGGAAGGGACAAAAAATGCCTGTTCAACGTCAACAGCACATCTGACAACATTTAAGGCTTCAGCGTGTCTCACTGGACGGCATAGAGCTTCGTTCAGGGCAGTTCAGCGCTGAACGCTGCTTGATTACAAGGTCAAGGTGCTTAAGGCCAGGGATGACAGGTTTGCCTGAAAGAAAATGAACAGAAGACCACCGGCTTCCCTGCGCTGTGAGCAGCGCAGGCCGGTCTGGCTCTTCTGCAGAACACAGCGGTCTGCAGGGCCAGCCAGGGTCTGGCTTTTGTCCTTCGGCTGTCATTTCTGTCATTGCCAGTCAAAGGGAGGAGCTACTGGAAAAGGAGGAAAATCATTTCTCTGAAGGCTGCAAGCCTTCCAGCAAACTTGAAAACAGACCTGGTTTTAATCTTTCTGGTGGCCATACATCTGGGCATT